CGCCCAGGCTCTGCGCCCAGGAGGCCGCCCAGGCCGCCGGGGCCAGCTCCTCCTGGCTGCGAAGGCCGCGGCCGCCCAAGCGCAGCGGGAGCTGGCAGCGTTGCTTCTGTTGTGGCGTGAGCGGGCCCAGGCGCCCGAGCTCTTCGTAGGCGGCCAGGGGGGCAGCGTCGTAGGCCGCCGCCGCCGGGCGCGCCTGTTCGGGAGGCGTCGCGCGAAGCGTGTGCGTCAGTTTGCCAGTCCCGCAGTGCCGCAAGAGCAGGGCCGCCGTCTGCGCAGCAGGCAGGTGCGGGGAGGCCAGCGAGGGCAGCTCGGCCACCTTCGAGAGCAGCCCGGCGGCTCGTGTCGCGGCGGCGTCCTCGGCGCTCTCCGTGGCGTAGTCGGCTGCGCCCAGGTCTGCCTGGCGCCCCTCGTCCGGGCGCGGCAGCTCCCGCGGCTGTGGCTGCTCGGGGAGCGCGGCTCCAACCAGCGTTAGGCCTCTCTCTTGCCAGTGCGCCTCCAGGCCAGGCGGGCCAGGGGCGCGGGGTGACCAAGCCTGCGTTTTGCCTGGCTGCAGCTCCAGTCCGAGCGGGGCAAGCGCGGCCTGCGCCGCTGGCAGCGCCTCCGCAGCGAGCTCTGGCGGCACGAGGACCACTAGGTCGTCCAGGTAGGCGAACACGTGAACTTCGCCCGGCGGAAGCCCGCGCGCCTCAGCCCGGCGGCGCAGGTCCTCCTCGAGCGCGCGCAAGTAGGGGCGCAGGCCGCAGGCAAAGAGGAGGGGCGCGAGCGGGTCCCCTTGGTCCACGCAGTCAGTGGCGCGCAGTCGGTGGCAGGCCCCCTTGCTGTCCCAGAAGAAGTACTGCGAGCGGCGCCTGCAGAAGAGCTCTGCGAAGGGGAGGAGGGGGGGATCCACCTCCTCCAGCTGCTGCAGGCAAGTGGCCCGGCGCGCGGTGCAGAAAGCGTTCTTCGCGTCCAAGGCAGTAACCGCCAGGTGTGGCGCGTTTTCCAACAGAGCGCGCGCTGAGTGCGCCAGCAGTTCAGTCCCCGCGGCCGTGCCGATGGCGAGCTGCTGTCTGCCGAGCGCGTCTTGCGAGCGGTCCCGTCGCTCGGTTGCCAGTGCGCGGCCCGCCGAGCGCCGCGGGATGTTCGGCGCCGCGATGGGCCGAACGCCGCGCTCGCCCTTCCGCAGCGGCGTGAGCATGGAGGTAGCCAGGGCAGCGGCGGCGCTCTCGGGGACTCGCCCCTCAGCCAGGCGGTCGCAGACGCCGCAGAAGGCCCCCAGCGCCCCAGAATCAGAGAGGACCACCCGCCAGTGCTCGAACCTGCCGCCGCCGACAGCGGCCCCGCTCCCCTTGGGGCTCGCCCGGAGGACCTTCTTCAGCCGCCCGTAGGAAAGGGGCGCGCCGTCGAGCTGTCGGGCTGGCGGCGGCGCCAGGGCGGGGGCGTCCCTCGGCTGCAGGAGGCCCTGGAGCTGCTGCCCGGTCTCTGGCGTCAGCGGAGCGAGCCCCGGGCTGCTCGGCAGCGCCGCTGCTCGGGAGTACTCCTCGGCAAGCGCCTTCCGCAGCGCCTCGTCGGCCAGGGTGCTGGCGTCGTGGTCTGGGCAGCGCCCCTCGCGTCGGGCTTTGGCCAGTGCCCGGCCCGTCCTGCGAGCTTCCGCCAGCAGTTCCCCCCAGCCGCCCCGCTGCAAGGTCGCGCAGCGCTCTCGCACAAGCCGGGCGCGGTCCAGCGTCTCCGCGGCCGTCCGCCGCGAGCGCCCCCCGCGCAGCCGGAGCGGCGCAGCGAAAAGAAGCCTCTCCCGCGGGGGCAGGAGCTTCCAAGCTCTGTCCTCCTGCTGGCTGCCGGCCGCAGCACCGAGGACGGCCTTGCAGACCTCTTCCGTGGCCTGGGCTGCCGCGGTGCGCGCCCCCCCCGGCACGTAGCGGAGCGTGGGGGCGTCTTCCGCGAGCTCCTCCAGCAGGTCAATCTGGTCCAAGCCCGCCCAGCAGGGGTCGGCCAAGTCGCGGAGCGGGAATGCTGCGGCAGCGGGCGTCGCGGCGGCCGCGGGCGCAGCGGCTGCGGGCGCGGCGGCCGCGGGCGCAGCGGGCGGCGCCAGGGCGGCGGCGGGCGCGGCGCCTGCGGCAGCGGGCGCCCCTTCTCCAGCAGGCGGCGGTGCGGCGGCGGCGGCGCAGGTGCGGCAGAGGAGCGCCTCGCAGCTTTCGCAGTGGTGGAGCCAGCCGCCAGGCCCAGCCCTCCCGAAGCAGGCAGCGCAAGTCTCTCCAGGCAAGGTTCGCGCAGCGCGGAGCGGGCCCCGGCAGCCTGGGCAGAGCAGCGGCGCCCCCCCGAGCGGCCCAGGGTTGCTGGCCTCGCCGACCCGCAGGCCGGCGTAGCCGCAGCGTCGCCTCAGCGGCCCGGCGTGCGGCTGCGGCGGCGCGGCTGCCCAGGAGGTGGGGCGGCGGCCCCTCCGGCGACCCCCCGGCGAGCGCCGCGCAAGCGGCGAGCGGCGGCGAGGAGGGCGTCGTCGGTGTTTGCTTCCTCGAGCTGCTCCAGGGCTTCCTCCTCCTCGGAAGCCTCGTCGAGCTCTGCGTCCGTGTCGGCGCCCGCCAGCCTCGCGTCGTCGGGCGGCGCCGGTCCAGGCCCCGCTGCTTCCAGGGCGGCGTGCGCCGCGGCCATCGCCGCCAGCAGCGGCTGTGGGGGAGCGCCGCCCCAAGCCTGCGCCCCGGCGGGCCCGCGCGCGTGGAGCTCCAGGCGGTCCAAGAGTTCGCGCGTGGCGAGCAGCAGCTGCTCCGCCCCAGCGTCCCGCGCGGGCGCTGCCTCGTTTGCGCCGCGGGCCGCTGCCTCGGCAGCCGCCGTCTGGGCAGCCTCCTCCTCGCGGGCCGCTGCCTCGGCAGCCGCCGCAGCGGCGTGGGCGGCCTCCGCCCGGCGTGTCGCGGCCGCCAGCGCCTCGTCCGCGGCCGTCGCCGCAACTGCGGCTTTCCGCGCTGCCGCCCGGAGCCCCTCCAGGCGGTTGCCAGAGCGCTGCTGCGCCTGGCGCGCGCGGGCGGCGGCTTCCTCTTGCTCCAGCGCCTCCAAGGCAGCCTTCGGCGCGCCAGCCCTGCGAGCGACCGCCGTGGCCTTGCGAAAAGCGTCGGCTTGGGCCCCTGGCCGCGGCGGCCGGGCGCCAGGCAAGTCTGGCCAAGCCGCGGGCGTGGCTTCGCCAGCGGCGGCTGGCGCGGGCGGCGGGCAGCCCACTGGCGCGCCGCTCCGGGCGGCGTCGCACTTGCGACAGTGCGTGCGTTCCGCCGCGCGCCGAGGCGGAGGGTCCGGCTGCTGCCTCGCACCGCGCCGGCCGCCTCCCCCGAAGAGGCTTCGCAGCAGGTCCGCGGCCAGTTCGGCGTCGCCTGCCTTGCGGCCCTGGCGGCGCCTTTCGACTTTCTGCCATGCCATCCCGATTCGCTCGGAGCCTCCAGGGGGGCAGGATCAGGAAAGGCAGAGGCAAGGATGCAAGGATACGGTCGGGGGTCGCCACCCCGTCCAGAATCCAGAAGCTGCCTCCAGTGCCGCGGCCGCCGCCTGCCAGCGCGCCCGCTCCAGCAGGAGCCCAGGCGATGGCGCGGCGAGGGGGGGGGAGGCAAGAAGGCGAAGGGGCAAAGTGGGAGAGGAAGGAGGGCACGGCCGGGCAACGGCTGCGCGCGACTTGAGCTCCTCCTCCTCCTCCTCCTCCTCCTCCTCCTCCCCATCCTCCTCCTCCTCCCCCCTCCTCCCCATCGGATCGGCCGTACTTTGAGCGATCTCGAAAGTAGGGCGGAACTTCCCGCCCCATTCAAGATCCTTAGATGCCGATTTTCGCCCTGCTTTGCTGTCGCTGTTTCTGCCATACTTTTCCTTGGGCGGAAATGCCTGTTTTCGTATCGTTTGAGGTGCAATTCTGATACAATCCCTGGTCGGAGAATGAGCCAACATATGGCGGATCCAGAGTCCGTGCCCCCCGCGAAAGCTTAAAACTTGTTCTCTGGCGATTCTTCAGAAATATACTGTCGCCGTGCATGCTTATTCCCGTGATCTGTTTCAGGATCGGCCCTGGATCGATTGGGCGTTGCGTTGCGTTGCCGCCCCCCCCTCGAGGTCTCACACATGGGGACCGAGTAGATGAAGTCGAAGGATCGCGCCGCATCGCCGATGCATTGGCGTTGCATCGGCGACGTCGGCGGTGCATCAGCGACGTTGGCGCGGAGGACATCGGGCTCCACACCGAGCTGCATCGTCGATGCATCGGCGATGCGGCGCGATCCTCCGACCCCGTCCACTCGGACCCCATTTGGGACTGGGGGGTCTGAACTGTTTGGGACCCCAGAAAATTGATGAGGGGGGCTGCAGCCAAGTCCGCTCAACATCGGTCCCCGGGACTCCTCCTGAAGCCCATCGGGTGCAATCTTTTTAGCCCCGCATCCGTTTCTGACGGTCCCAGGACTCAAAAACGGCCCCCAAAGGCCGAACAAGGCAGAAGACCTTCCCGAACCCAGAACCTCGAACCTGCCCTCCCGTCCTGCTGGCCGGAACCGGTGCTGGGCCACCTCAGACCCCCAGACGGTGCTGCGGCTCGATGTGGAACCCGCTGTTTTCCGCGCCCTCGTCGCCGATGCCTCGCCGATGGATCGCCGATGCATCGGCGATGCGGCCGCTAGGGCGCGGGAGCAAGCCGCTGGCAGATGAGCGACTCCCGAGCGGCGCCCGCACGGCGTGAGGCCCCGAGCTCCGCCGCGTGAGATCGAGCTCGCTGGGGAGCAAGCTCGGACTAGACACGTGATCTGCGGGCCCTCCGACCCCATCCCCAGAACGTAGGGTGGGGGGGAGGGGGGACCTGGACCCCCCCCGCCCTCCCTAAAGCGACGGCGACGACGACGGCGACGTCGGCGACCACGGCGACGACGACGGCGACGACGACGGCGACCACGACGGCGACCACGACGGCGACCACGACGACGACGGCGGCGGCGACGAACGACGACCGTACTCCAGGGCCCCGCCCCCCCCTGGCGCAAGGCCACCACCCCCGCGCGGCGCGGGTCCTCGGCGGGGCGTCGCCGCGGGTGCTCGGGGCCTCGCCGGGAACGCTGGCGCCCCGGATGTGGGCCCGCATCATCTCGCAGTGCGCCTGCCGGAGGAGGGCAGCGAAGAGAATCTCGATTCACGCGCACAGTCGTCTTGATGACAACTCGAGCGCATGCCTCGTACGTGAATGAATGGGAAGGAAGCCTCACGGGTCCCACCCTCCCCATGGGGCCGCTACGAATCCGAGCAGGTCGTCGGCAAACTCTGCCAGGCATACAACTTGAGCAACCCAAAGGGGCACATCGTGAGGAAGCCTCGATCGGGGACTTCGTCTATGTGAATTGTCAGGAACTCTCAGGCGTGAGCCCCCTCCCTATGGGGCCCGCACTTCAAATTATTCATCCGAACGGGTCACCGCCATGTTCTACCAGGTGCAGCAATTGAACACCCCAAGGGGTCAAGCCGTGAAAATGGCTCAAGCGGGTTCTTCGTCTGTGACGGAATTGCGAAAAAGTCTCACGCGGGAGCCACTTCCTTCCCTATGGGGCCCACACTTCATGTTACTAATCCGCGCGGGCCATCGGCAGACTTTACAAGGCACATCATTGGAGCACTTCAAAGAGGCACATCGTGAGGATGTCTCGGGCGAGGGCCACGTCTGTGAGTGAACAGGAAAAACGTGTCAAGCGCGAGTCCCCTGTTTATGGCGCCCGCGGGTCATGTGATGAATCCGAACGGGTCATCGGCAAACTCTACCAGGCATACCGTTTGAGCGCCCCAAGGGCGAAGCGTGAGGATGTCCGGAGCAGTGGCTTTGTCAGTGAATGAATGGACAGTAAGGCTCCGGAGGGAACCTTCACCCCATGGGTCCCGCACTTATTTTCTCTGCGCACATCCCGCGCACGATGTCGGCTGACCTCCTCTTCTTCACCACCACCATCACCATCACCATCACGCTCACCATCACCATCATCATTATCATCATCATCAACAACATCGTCATCATTTTCATCATCTTTCCCCCAATCCCATCATCAACACCATCATCATCGTCATCATCGTGCTCATCATTTTCATCACCATCACCACGATATCATAGCCACCACCATCATCATACTGAAATCATCATCGTCCTCATCATCGTTACTACCACCACTCTGCTTACCATCGCCATCATCATTGGAAACAACATCACGATCAAACTGTCGCCATGACGATTGTGAGTGAAGTGTGAAGGCGTCTCAACGGAGAGTCCCCTATATATGGAGGGCGCACATCATGTTACGAATCCGAATGGGTCATCGTCACCCTCTACCAGGCATAGCTGTTGGACACCCCAAGGGCGCAAGGCGCGAAAATGTCCCAAACGGGGGCTTCGTTTGCGAGTGAATAGCGAAGAAATTTCAAGCGGGATCCCCTCCCTGTGAGGCCCGCTGGTCGTGTAATCAACCCAAACGGGTCACCGACAGCCTCCACCATCCATAGTGTTTGAACATCTCAAAGAGGCACATCGTGAAAATGCTTTCGATAATTTCGGCTCAAAGTGAACAGCGACGATATCTCAGGCGGGGGCCATTTCCCAAAGGGGCCCGCACCTCATGTTACTAATCCGAGCGGGTCATCGGCAAACTGCGCAAAGCATGATTAGCGTTTGAACAGCCCACTGGGGCAAATCGCGAATATGTCTCGAGCGGGCGAGGGGGTCTCAAGCGGGAGCCCCTCCCCCTGGGGCCCGCAGGTCATGTTACCAATCTGAACGGGTCATCGGGTACCTGTGACTGCGGTCACTTTTGGCCTCTTGCCTCTCGATTATGGCGGAAGTATCGAGCGGGAGCCTCGTCTGCGAGTGAACGGCGAACCAGTGCATGCGGAACATGCTGATCCTGCGGCCGCCCACACGAAAGTTCTTGGAGCGCGGGCCGCCGGCTTCCCTGCAGAAGGTGCTCAGGGAATTCGGCAAGAGAGCGGGGAGCTCCAAGGCTGAGGTGGAGCAACTCGGGGCAGAGCTGGGAATCGCGCTTCGTCCCGCGTGAGCGCGGCCGCGACTAGCTGAAGACCTGCGGGGTTGTCCCAACGGCTTGCTCCCGCGTCCTAGCCGCTCGTGGGGGTGTCCCAACGGCCTGGCCCACGGGGTTGTCCCAGCGGCTTTGCGCTCTGGCCATCGGAAAACGCGTCCATGCTGGCCGTAACGACAACGGCGCCAAGGAACATCGACCTGCGTGCCCTTGCTAAGAGGGCGGATGGGGAGAGGTGGATGGGGGAGAAGCAAGCAAGCAAACAATAACCATAGGATCCATGAAAGTGCTACATATCACGCACAGCCAAAAAGTTGGATCTAGGTGCCCTCAAATGGCAGCCTCCTCAAGGGTCACTCCCGCAGGCGGGGCACGCACAGGCCCAGCGACGGCCCAGTGAGGCGATGGCCTCTCGGGGGCCGGTGGCGCTGCCCGTCCATAGCAAGAAACCCACTTAGAGCTAGGGGACTACCCCCTCCCCCTCCCGCGCCCTCTCGGCTTGGCTCGGGGTCTAGGAGCGAAAACTCGACGGGCGTCTTCTGCGGCGCCTTCTAAATATGCTGGTCAGTGCTATGTGTGAGAACAGGCAGCCTCACTTCCGAAACAACGCCCCTCATCTCAGAAAGACCCCTCCCAAAACTTCGCGGGCCTGGAGCTCGGAGCATCGAGCGCTACCTGAAAACGCCGCGGGCACAGGGGGCCGACTCTGGGGAATCCTATTCCCACCTCTGGCAGGTCCCGGGTATTGCATTGGCGGCGCGCGGACGGGCTCACGAGCAGGCGGCCGCACTCGTCGCACCTCAGGAACTCCCCCCCCAGGCTGCAAAGTCAGCGGGTCCGCCGGCACAGCCTCCTGGTGGAAGGCGCGCGCCGTCAGCGTTACGACGCCATGATCCGATGGGGCCGAATCAGAGCACGCTGGCGCCGTTACGACACCCGGCTGGCGTTGCCCAGGTGGTTCAGATGCGGGGCGCGCCAGCGCCGTTACGACACCTGGCGCCGTTGCGGCACTTTGCCGGTCTTTTTCCATTGGATCTGAAGCCGAGGGAGAAGATGCCGGAATATGCTGCAGGCCTCCAGGACCAGATGAAGACGAACCGCCGCCATGCAAAGACGATGCCACGAATTGCGAGGATAGCGCAGGCCATGCCAACTCCAAGGATGACGATGTCACTGGTGTAGAGGATGCTGAGCCCAATGCCCCCGTAGCACACGATGGTGCCTTCGCCATCCATGGCGCCCCTACATCCCCTCCAGACGCGCCAAGAGCTTAGCTGCGTCTTTCTCCAAAGCTCCGCGCGGAACTGCGCCGTATTTGCGCGCGGCCTTGATGTGGGTCATGTACGCGATGATCGCCTCCTCGAGCGGCTTGTGGCTGGCGTCCACGGCCAGCGTCAGGCGCATGAGCTCGGGCTTCCCCTCCTTCTTGCGCGTGGGCCTCACGCGGCACGCGCGCGCCTGGCTGGCAATCCAGTGCACGTCGGACGCCACCACGACCTTGTTCCAGCACTCCTCCACGGTCGTACGCGCGGCCTGCGGCGTGGTCGCGTCGCCGCCGATGGCCTTGAGGATCGCCGCCCACAGCTGGACGAACGGCGGGCCCATGTGCTGATCGATGCTCTCCTGCTTGCGCCGCTGTGCCTCCGCGTGGTACGCCTGCCCAGCGCGCTTGGCCGCCACGACGACCGAGGCCTCGGCCGGCACCAACCGCGTGAGGAAGACGACTCCGCAGACGTCCCGGAGCTCCGCGGCGTTGCTCAGCGAGAGGCGCGTGAGGATTGCCACGAGCGCCTTCAGCAGCGCCTTCTCGCCTTTCCCGTCCGCCTCCCGCTCCGCGTCCGCCACGATGCTCCGAGCGTGCTTGGCCGACGGCTCCTCCTGGTCGCCCGCCGCGCCTGGCAGCATCCACGCCGGTGCTTGGTCTATGCCGGGAGCGCACCTGCGGGCAAGGTACCAGGTGAGTGCGTAAATGTGCCTGCAGATCTGCGAAAACGTCTGCGGAGTACGGACAGACAGGACAAGATAAACTCGCTGGAATCCTGGGCTCCTCCAGATTTCGAGTGGTATCCACTGGGCAGTGCCCCCGAGCTACACTGGCCGCAAGATGTCGACGTGCCGTGGATTCGAAGGCAAAGACACTCCCACAGACACAGCATTGATTTGATACACATAAAACGTGGGCTAGAGATTGAAACCCATGGTGGGCAATAAGGTGCGTGTGCAGCGCTCGTCGGTCCCGGAGGCGACTACCACAGCCTTCCCCAGACTCCAACACAAGCTTGCGCACGAAAAGCGCCTCCTCCCCCCCATCCTCCATGACTTCCACAGGCCCCGGAGACGACGCTCGGGTGGAGGGTGGAGGAATGGCCGCCGATAGTGCGTGAGAGCGTAATTGACGAACGTCAACACCGCAAAACGCCTCCCGGAACTCAGGCTCCGAGAATACTAACCAATAGCGTTCCTGCAATCTTTCCAAGGACTGTGCCCCCTCATCCAAACAGCTGAGACTCGCAATGTCGTCCCGCACACTTCTTCCCCATGGAGAAAGAGACGATGACAACCTTCCGCTGTGGAGCACTCTGGAAGGGCAGCCGTGGAAAGTGCCAAACAACACTGCGATTTCTTGCCTATGGGCGCCAGGTCGCAAAGCCAGTTCTTGCCATAATCTGAGGCGGCGAATGCGCGCTTCGACGTCAAGTGGCGCAAGCCTCCACCATTTCACTACCTCTGAGGATCTCATGGATCGTGGGTGGGGCCCTTCCCAACAACACGCCCTACCGAGCATGGCACGACGGGCATGACCGGCGACGACGCTGGACAGCCGCTGGAGTTCCCTGTCCGTCGGTAAGAAGCACTCAATCCCCGTAAGCGCCACGTTATAAAGTTTACAGATAACCAAACATCGACGTAGTCTGTGCGGAACACTGCGTAAAACCCAAAAACCACCCATGGAATGCCAAGAAGAGCGAAGAGCCTGGATACGTGCTGCAAGCTCGGGGCCATAACGTTCAGGCACACTCCCCATTATAACCCCCAAACTACGAATTGTACGAGCAGGACGTCAAGGGAATACCAGCGCACCCTCCTTCAAATCCCGGAACATCCCTCCCGCTCCCCGCCCGTGCACATGCAGTAAAGTATCTTGCTTGGTAAGATTCTGGCAGTACCCTACCGGCGCAAGGACATCGTCTAAGTCGGCATTTGAGCGCATATTACACTCCACCAGCTTCGCACAAGGGAAATAACGAGGCACCACCAACTTCTTGGTGAGATCATCCGCGTACTTCGTGAGGGAGCAGTCGACCTTTTCTAGAGAGAAGGGCAATCGTACATTGAGCACCTCGGCCGGGTCCCAGCTCCTCTGCGCCTCTGTCCAAAGCTCTACCGGCCTCAGGAACGATCGCACGAACTTCTTGACAGCGAACCCGTCCCCCATCAAGCCGCCGCACTGTGGAGAAAGACACACATCCCCGTCATGGGCCCCGACCCGGATAGACGCATACTGGAGACGCTGGAAACCGAAACCTGTCTCGTGCTCCCGAAACAAGGACCGCACAGCACCGCAGAGAGCCCCCCTCGACGTCGAAGCGAACGCATTCGTCAGGTCATGTGCGTTCGTGATGAACGAAGTACCTCTCTCCCAAAGGTGGTTCCCTGAGGCCATTTGAACAAGTAAGGCCCCCTCCCGACGTCGATGCTTCATGAACCCGTGGTCCTGATCGGTGGCCTGAAGTGCCCCCTTGAAGCCCATCAACCCAGCAATCCAAAGTTTCCCCAGCGGGTCCAGGAGATGAATCCACCTGGTCTTGCCGTCGGCGCGCGGCAGTGGCGCGCCTCGCGACTGATGCCACCGCAGCGGGGCAACTCCGCAGCAGCGAATCGTATCAGGAGATCCCAAGCATAGCTGAGATCGGGAACGTCGGCATGGCGCCCCACACCAGCGTGACCCGTATGCCACCGACGCCTAGGATGCAGTAGCAACCACCACAACTCAGCGGGCGGAGCCCATTCCGGCACGGCTCGGCGCTTAGCAACACGCAGAAGACGACGACGCAATTCTCTCACATCACGCCTGGCGGCACGCAAGTGCTCTTCTCCAACCTCTCGGCGAGGCACAACTGATTGAACAATATCCTTCCAGCGGTCCCACTCCGGGATAACCAGAGCCGACATCCCCCCACGATTCCCAGGAGCAGCGAACGACGACACCAAGGCAGCTCGGTCATCGACGCAACCTCGCACAGCTTAATAGTCTCGTTTTTTTGGGCCGAACCTGGTCCCCGCCGCCCTCCTGGCCGAGTCAGGAGGACGAGGAGGAGGCAAAGCATGGCGTGGGAAGAGGGCCTCCGCCAAGGCGAAAAGGAGAAGGGCGATGAGGAGACGGCGAGAGAGAGAGAGAGAGAGAGAGAGCCTCTGCACTCACAAGGGCGACGATGAAATTTACCTCCAAATTTCTTTCGGAGTTTCTCATGTGGGTTACTGCCGTCGGAATGCTTCGCTTTTCCTCTTCGAGAGAAGCGCGAGAAGGAAAAGCGCAACCAACGAGGCGCCACGAGGAGGACGCCAGCGGCTCCGAGCCCACCAAGAAGGGCAACTGGCAGGTGTTGGGTTAGGGGTGATGAAAGGAAGAAGCGGCCAAGAGGGCAGAGGAGGCCACGAACGCAGAGCGAGATGGCTGGGGATCCTGGGAGCACGGGGCAGCCGAGACAACGGCGGTCCTCCCCGGCGCGCCTCGCCCCTCTTGGGCTTCCTCTGGAGGCGTCCGGAGGAGGTCGACCACGAGACAACGGCGGCCCTGGCCGGAGATTGCAATGGCGCCCGTCACGGGGTGGGGGGGGCGAGGGGGGGACTAGGCCTGCCGGCACCACAGCATGCTTGTGAGCACCAGACAGGTGCCCGTCAGCACCACACCGTGCCTTTCAGCACCGCGCGCGGGGATCCTCTCTGACCCGGGTGAAGGCAGACCCGGGTCAGTCAGGCCGTGCAGGATCCTGCCAATTCCTGCAGGATCCTGCGCTCAAGCCCGGGCCAGTGCACCCCTGGCCCTGCAGGATCCTGGAAGCTCCGGCGCTCTGACCGACCCCGTCTGCATTGACACCCCTCTCTTGAGCCCCGACGCGCCATGCCTGTGGGGGAACCGGCCCCCCCCCACTCGCGTACCCTCGGTTTCAGTTCTGGAGAAGGGGGGGGGGGCGGGCGGGGGCGACCTCCCATCGACGGACGTCACGGGCTCTTCCATTCCCAGTCACGTTGGGGCGACCTCCCCCATTCCCAGCAACATGGGGATCTCATGGCGCGTTTCGCCCCTCCTGGGCCTCGTCCGGAGACGTGCCGCCGCCGCAGCCAAATCCGGCTCGACAAGCGGGTCGGGAGGGAGGCCCGGGGAGAGCTCCGGGGCCCATTACCGAGCGGACCTGGGCTAGGCGGGCGAGCCGCCGCTGTCTCAGCTGCCCCTCCTCCGAGCCATGACGTCCGCCGACCTCATGTCTTCGATCCGCGGCCCTAAGGAGGTCCCGACCGCTTCCCCGTGGGGGGAGCTTCTCGGCGGCGCGCACAAGGGCGTGGGGGGAGGGGGTAGAAGGACGCTGCTTCTTAGAAGGCGCGGGCCTTACATCCACAGAAAAGGCCCGCGCCTTCCAAGGAGCTGGGGTGCTTCTGAGAAGCCTTCCCCCCGTCCCCCCCTGCGCGTGGCCGAGTCTGTCGTCCCGGATCCATTTTTCATGGTCCCAGGGCACGACAACGGGCCCCAGAGGCCGAAATCGACGGAAAACCGCCGGCTGAAAAACCATGTCGCCAGAGGCCTGCGAGCGGAGGAGGAGGAGGAGGAGGAGGAGGAGGAGGAGGAGGAGGAGGAGGAGGAGGAGGAGGAGGAGGAGGAGGAAGGAGGAGGAGGAGGAGGAGGAGGAGGAGAGGAGGAGGAGGAGGAGGAGGAGGAGGAGGAGGAGGAGGAGGAGGAGGAGGAGGAGGAGGAGGAGGAGGAGGGAGGAGAGGAGGAGGAGGAGGAGGAGGAGGAGGAGGAGGAGGAGGAGGGAGAGGAGGGAGAGCTCCGTCGAGAACGAGGCCTGCGAGCCTTGTCGTGCCACCGCTGCACGGTCTCGTAGATGTCCGACACCGCCGCGGCGCTTAGCCGCACGGAGTCCGAGCGGCCCCGCCGGAACTGCTGCGCGCCGCTGCTGGCCGCGCCGCCGCCCCCGTCGGTCTCTGCGCCCTCCGGGGCCGCGCAGCAGCTGGAGCCTTCGGGTGGGCGGGAAGAGAGCCAAAAGCGCTTACAAATGTCGATGCTCGATACTTGTCCTCCTCCTCTTCCTCCTCCTCCTCCTCCTCCTCTTCCTCCTCCTTCTCCTCCTCCTTCTCCACCTCCCTCTCCTCTGGAGCCTTGGGGGGGGGGTCGGAGCAGCCGGCGGGGAGCAGACGGGCAAGCAGGCGCGGAGGCCGTCAGTGCAACCATGAAAACCACGCTATGCTCCTCGTCCTCCCCCTTCCTCCTCCTCCTCTTCTTTTTCCTCCTCCTCCTCCTCCTCCTTACCCTTCTCTTCCTCCTCTTTCTCCTTGTCCTTCCCCTTCTCCTTCTCCTGCTCCTCCTTCTCCTCCTGCTCCTCCTGCTCCTCCTGCTCCTCCTGCTCCTGCTCCTGCTCCTCCTCCTCCTCCTCCTCCTCCTCTTCCTCCGACGACGAGTACGACGGCGACGACGACGAAGAAGGCAAAAGCGGCCGCGACGCCGACAACGACGACGCCGCCCACCACGGCGCCGTGGTTGACTTGGGCCGATCGCGGGGGGGGGGGCGTGCAGGGGCCCGGGCCCTCGCTTCGCGGGGTGGTGTGAGGAAGGCGAGCCGAGTCGGCCAGCCTTCGGGGTGCCTCCTGGAGCCCCCCCTGGGAGCTTCGGCACCACAGCAGCGCTCGATTTTGGAAGAGCTTATTTCCCATCTCGCCCGAGTCGGCCAGCCTTCTGGCCTTCGGGCCGATCCCCACAGCGCCGCCGGCACCGCAAGGGCCGTGCGGGGGAGGGGGTGCTCGCGAGAGGCCGCGCAAGGGCTCCTTCGTCGCGCCAAGAGGTTCTTGAGCTGCCGCGCCGGGGCGCCCCGAAGCTGCCGCGCAGGGGCCCTTCCGAGGTCGCCCCTCGAGGAGCGCCCCCGTTCTCCATGGCGCGTCGGTGCGATCAAGGCTCGCCGTGCAGGAGCCCCTCGGGAGCCATTGAGGAGCCTCGCAATGACCTCTCGGCAGCGCCTCGAAGAGGGCACCAGAGGCTCTTAGAGAGGCCGCCCAGGAGCTCCATCCCTCTCCCTCCGCCGCGATGGCAGCCCGTCGGAACGCAAGCAGGTTGTCCCCGACAGGCAAAGGTACCCGACCCGACGCACCAGCTGAGGGCCACGCTGAGATACTGCGAACGGCTTGGCCGCCAGGATGATACTGATACTGCTGTTGATGCTGATGCTAATGGTGGTGGTAATGATGGTGGTGATGATGGTGGTGATGGTGCTAGTGCTGATGGTGATGGCGATGCTGCTGCTGGTGCTGATGATGATAGTTGTAACGATGATAATAATGGTGACGACGATGGTGGCGATGAGGATGAATCTGATGATGTTGATGATGGCGATGATGGTGATGATGCTGATGATGACGACGATGGCGACGATGGTGATGAGGATGGCAATAATGGTGATGGTGAGGATGGTAATGATGGTGATGTTGGTGGAGAAGGCCCCGTTTTGGTGCTCAGCCCTTGCGGTGGCCGTGCCGCGGCCGCCCGGTGGCGCCACGAAAGTCGGTGCCGCCTCCCCGTGCCGGCTGCTGCGCCCCGCGCAGCCGCCGCAGCGTGCCTCCTCCTGTGTGGTGGCACGCTGCGACGGCGGGGGGAAAGAGGGAGGAGGAGGGGACATGGGAACGAAGCATGACATTCACATCAAAAACTCGTAGGTCCGCGCGGACCTCCGAGGTTTGATGTTCAGGTTATCCTTCGTTCCCCGAGGGGAACAGCCTGGAGGATCAGATGACAGAAGACAGCGCCTCGGAGGGACGACGGGCCACGTGACCACACGAGGTTGCGCACAGATCGCGGGGCCTCGGAGGAAAGATGGGCCTGCTCCTCGGAGGAGGACCAGGAGGAGGAGGAAAGGGAAAGGGAGAAAAGGAACGACTACACTGACAACAGCAATCATCTTAAGACTGTTCGTTCTCATCAACCAATATGTACGTCCCAAGCCCTCGGTACCCGCTCTCATCATCTTTGATCGCGCCCTCTCTAGTGCCACGTGTAGTTGGCACAGCCTCTGACGCAGGACAAAGGAGAAAGCGATGAGGAAGGGAGTGGGGGAAGGGTGGGAGGAGGGAAGGTGGCAAGAGGGAAGGGAAGATGAAGAAGGAGAGGGATCAGCAAGAGGGCTTAGCAAGAGGGGGTGGCAAGGAAGTCTAGAGCGCGGCTCCTGAGTAAAGTGCCAAGAAATCCCGAACGAGAGCGTGATTCCAGAGCACCGAGAAAACGATTCGTGAATAATTTGTAAGGAAAGCTCAGGCGAGAGCGTGATTTCTGTAGAAATTGCAATTGCAAAGACGTCTGGAGCGGGAGCGCAATTCTACAACACATACTAAAAATATCTGACGGGAGCGAAACTAATTATTGTTGATGCCCCCCACCGGTGCACATTATTTTTTCCAATTGGAGTGCCCCCCCGGGGCTCGCCACCGGTTATTTGGTTTTCGTAAAAAATCCTGCTCAAACTGTGTTGTTGGCCCCCCGGCTACAACAACAACGGCTCCCGCCTGATACTTCCTCACCACTTATTCAAAAATCGCACTCTTGTGCGGGACCTCCTCACAATGTATGCAGGAATGGCGCTCTCTCGTGGGACGTCCTCGCGATTTATTCAAACGTCGCGCCCTCGACACTCAGAAATCACGCTCTCGCCGCTGTGGCTTTTCTCGTGATTTGCTTGGGAATAATGGTTTCGCATGAGACGCCCCGATGATTTATATATGATTCACGCTTCAGCAGCCCGCCTGCTCGACCTGGCCGCCTGGGCCCTCCTTGCCGACCCTCCCGCTAGGGTCTGCCCACCCGATCTGCCCGTTTGGTTCTACCATGTGTTTTCTGCTCCTAACCCCCCTCCTGCTAATCTCTCTCGCGTTCCATCCTTCTCCCTCCCCCTTCCATCCGTCCTCTTGTCTCCTGTGTTAGGGGCTGCGCTGCATGCGCGTGGCAGGCAAGACCCCCAAGGGTGCACGATCGAAGACGAAGAGGGCGGGTACCGAGGGTTTGGGATATACGCGTTGAATGGCACGCGAGCAGATAGGAGCGAACACTGTTATAATGATTGTTGCTATCCGTAAGGGCTTCGCCCCCTGCCGCCGGCCCCCTCTCTCGGAGAATGGGCCATGGAAGAGCGAAGTCATGAGGCTTTGGCTTCGCCGTGAAGCAGTGTCGGGAGCTGTTTGTGTTTCGACCCTGACCCTACGGATCTGCATGAAGGGTGCCACCGAATGTCAGAAATGTGGCAAATCCCTTGTGTTTTTGGACCCTGACCCTACGGATCTGCGTGAGGGGTGCCGTCGGATTTCAAGAATGTGGCAAATCCCTTATGTTTTTGGACCCTGATCCCGCCGATCTGTGTGAGGGGTGCCACCGAATTTCAAAAATGTGGCAAATCCCATGTGTTTTTGGACCCTGACCCTGCAGATCTGCATGAGAGGTGCCACCGAATTTCAGAAATGTGGCAAATCCCTTGTGCTTTTGGACCCTGACTCCGCCGATCTGCGTGAGGGGTGCCACCGAATTTCGAAAATGTGGCAAATCCAATGTGTTTTTGGACCCTGATCCCGCCGATCTGCGTAATGAGGTGTCACCGAATTTCAAACATGTGGCAAATCCCATGTGTCTTTGGACCCTGACCCCGCCGATCTGCGTGAGGGGTGCCACCGAATTTCAGAAATGTAGCAAATCTCTTGTGTTTTTGGACCCTGACCCCGCCGATCTGCGTGAGGGGTGCCACCGAATTTTAGAAATGTGGCAAATCCCTTGTGTTTTTGGACCCTGACCCCGCCGATCTGTGTGAGGGGTGCTACCGGAATTCAAACATGTGGCAAATCCCTTGTGTTTTCGAACCTGACCCCGCCGATCTGTGTGAGAGGTGCCACCGAATTTCAGAAATGTTGCAAATCCCTTATGTTTTTGGACCCTGACCCCGCCGATCTGCGTGAGGGGTGCCACCGAATTTCAAAAATGTAGCAAATCCCATGTGTTTTTGGACATTGACCCCGCCGATCTGCGTGAGGGGTGTTAATTCTTACCCACCGCAACAATTCAGACAATACGATTTGGGCATGGTGGAAATGACTGTTTTGGGCCTCCCCCCCTCGCGCGGTCCATCAACGAGGAACAGTAAGCAGCAAGAAGTCAACAAGGAACAGTAAGCAGCAAGAAGCAGAACTGTAACAGTGGGAACTGGAAGCTGCAACTGGCACAGGAAACTGCGAAACTTAGGCCTGCAGCCTGGTGGCCCCACAAGGGGGCCGGCGGATTGTTGTTGGTGTTGTTGAATTTTCACTTCTGAAGAATCTGTATTATTGATCCACCCTGCCCGGTGCACATTCTAGTTTTTGATTGAAGTGCCCCTCCTGGGGCCCGCACCCTGTATTTCATAAGGGGAAATCTTGAGCCTCAAACTGCGCCCCTGGTCCCCGAGTTACAGCCATAACGGCTCCCGCCTGATATTCCTCAATGTATTCCGAAAGCGCGCTCTCGCGCGGGACGTCCTCATAATTTATACAGGAATCGCGCTCTCGCGTGGGATTTGCATTCAATTTATTCAGACGCCGCGCCCTCGACACTCAGGAGTCACGCTCTCGCTGAGGATTCCCTCAGGATTCATTTAGGAATCGCGCTGTCGCTCGAGACTTCCTCGCGATTCATGCAGGACGCACGCTTTAGTAACCCGCCTGCTCGACCTGGCCGCCTGGGTCCGCCTTCCCGACCCGCCCGTTAGGGTCTATCCGCCCGATATGTTTGTCTGGTTTTTGTCACTTGTTTTCTGGTCCTATGCCTTTCTTCTGCTACTCCCTCTCGTGCTCCATCATCCTCCTTTCCCGTTGTCCTTTCCTTCAGTCCGTCCTCTCTTCCTCTGCCTCACGACATGCACGTTGCAGGTAAGGAAGATATACCCTTAAGGGGGGGTACGATCGAAGTCGAAGAGGGCGGGTGTCGAGGGTTTGGGATATACGTGTTGAATGACACGCGAGCAGATAAGAGCGATCAATCTTAAAATGATTGTTGTTGTTGTTATTGTTATTGCTGTTGTTGTTATTGTTGTTGGTGCGGTTGTTGTTATTGTTGTTGTTGTTGTTGTTCTTCGGGGACTTGGGGCTGAGGCTCAAGACTTTCCCTTGCCAAAAACAGGGTGCGCGCCCTAGGAGGGGCACTTCCATTGAGAAAACAAATGTTGCCGGAAAGGATGCTAACAATACTTATCATGTAGGAATAAGAATTCAACAACAACGACGCAATTTTAAACTTATTCGCTATCATATGACCGCGTGCCAACCAACATGCATCTCGAAAAGCATCGATACCACCTTCTTCGTCTTTGATCGTGCCCTCTTTGGGAGGACATCTTCCTTCGCCCCTGAAATGGGGAATAACACGAGTAATGGAAAAGGGAAAGAGCGAGGAGGAAACTAGTAGCGGGAGGGAGGGAGGAGGGAAGCGGGCAAGAGGTCAGGACAGATGGAGGACGAGAGGGATCAGCAAGAGGGGATGGCAAGGAAGTCTCAGGCGAAGCCGCGATTTCTGACAGCAAATTGTGAGGAAATCCAAAGCGAGAGCGCGATTCCAGAGCGCCGGGGAAGCGATTCGTGATCATGTGGTGTAGGGGGGGCTCAAGCAAGAGCGCGATGTCTGTATAAGTTTCAAGGAAGGCTCAAGCGAAAATACGATTTCTCAAATCATGTAAGGAAGTATCAGGAGGGAGCCATTGAATTCTCATGTCTCAGAAAAGAACTATTGTTGATACCCCCATTGGTGCACCCTCGATTTTCCAATTCAAGTGCTTCTCCCGGGGCTCGCACCTCGTTTTTACAAATGAAAGTCTTGCGCGTCAGATTGGGTTGTTGGCCACCAGTATACAACAGGAACGGCTCCCGCCTGACACACCAGGATTCAAGATCGCACTCTCGCGCTGAACTTTCGCGCACTCGCGTCATACCTCCTGGCAATACGCCGCGCCTTTGGCACTCCTGAATCGCTCTCGCTTTGGACTTCCTAACGATTTACTGGGGAATCGCGCTATCGCTCGAGAATTCCTCGCGATGCATGCTAGATTGACGCTTCAGCGACCCGCACGCTTGGGTTCGCCCGCCCGACCCGCCCGTGAAGGTCCGCCCGCCCGAACGCCCATCTGTTTTTGCCGCTTGTGCTCCTGCTCATAACCCCCCTCCCACTAATCGCTCTCGTGCTCCATCCATCTCGCCTCCTTGTCTCTTCCCTCCTCCCTCCCTTTCCCTGTATGCGCCAACTACACGTGGCAGGAAAGGAAGATACACCCCGAAGGGGGGTACGATCGAAGACGAAGAGGGCGGATATCGAGGGTTTTGGATATACATGTTAGATGATACGCGAGCTTATGAAAACGATTAATTTCTAAATGACTGTTTCTGTTGTCGTAAACAGGGGGCCAACAACACAATCTGAGGCCCAACACTTCCCCTTGTAAAATTCAAGGTGCGAACCCTGGTTGGGGCACTACACTCGAAAACAACAAACGTTACCGGAGGGGAAGATCAACAATCAATACATTTGTGCAATGCGAGTTCAAGGAAGGATAAAAGGAGACAGAACGCGAGAGAGAGAGAGAGAGATATAGAAAGAGAGAGAGAGGCAACAACAAGAGAGGGAGAAGGAGACTCACAAGGAGAAGCAGAACGAGCAAGAGAAGGAGAGGGAGGCAGGAGGGAAGAGAGGGCGGAGAGGCAGGCAGGAGGGAGGATGAGGCGGAGGAGGAGGAGGAGGTGGCCCCCCGCAAGCTGCAAATCATGCGCCGCTGTCCAAGGATTGGCTACAGTGACCGTGGGCCGTACCACGCCGTGCGTGCCGTTGCGTGCCATGCGCCCAAGCGGTGGCACGTGCATCTGTACAAGTCGCGGCCTGCAGCGACACACGGATGGACGGGTGACGGACAAAATCCTGCACCCTTTCTGTTGTCGTGAACCCCCCCTATCGCCCCCGATCTAAGATTGGAGAGCTGCGCCGCGATGTGTCGACCTGTGGACTGGCCGAAATTCTGCGCCCCACTGGCGATGCCAACGAACATTGAATCGGGTGCAAGGGGGAAGTTTGCGCCAGCACCCTGGTCGCGCGGGTGGTGCAGGATTTTGCCCATCACCCAGAGATCTCATCTGAAAGGGCATCAGGCGAGCCAGAAAAAGTCTGGCGGCACGGCGACCGCAGCGATGGTGGCTGTACGCGGCTGCAGGACGCTACAATCACAGCGGAGCCGCATCGTCGACAAGATCCTGGTGAGCCTTATGCTCAGGGCAACATGCAAAATTCGGAATTAAAACCAAGGGCTGGCTGAAGCGCTTTGCAATATCTGAATCAACGCAGAGCCCGCGTGGGCGTTTTGTGTCGATCAGGACCTACTCCTTGAGCGGAATCTTCAGCGAGCGTTGCGGAATCTATAACTACCACCACATAGAACATGCAGTGAAGCCACGAGATCGGCGGCAATCGACCCCGCGATGTTCGGCCTTCTCGCATGAATGAACCGCGCTGGGTCTCAAAGAGCGATGTTAAAGCGGAAAGCAGCGTTGATGGGCTCAACACCCCGTCGGTGTCCCGACCTCACTCGGCAAACACACCCCCGAATCTTGCTCCTGCGGGTCCGCTTTTCTCTCATCCGGTTCTCTCGAAAACCTGGAGGGTCCACAAATGAATGAATGAATGTCTGTGGTAAAATATCATTTGGACCTCAATGTCGTCTGAATTCACACGGGTCGGATGTGCCAGCGCCGTGTGGACCCGCAAGGGTAGGGTTGGCATGTGTTGGACACCCCCGATCATACGCTGCAAAGTTCATCAACGCCGCTGTATAACACCCCGTCCTTCTGATTCGAATCCATATTGGATACCTTCTGTAGGCGCGCCGCCGTTGAGAACTACCCTGCTCGTTGCTGGTGGAGAAAAAAAGAACAGAGTCAGGAAGGAGTTGCAGCAGGAAGAGCAGGAAGAGGGCAAGAGCGGGCAGGTCAGCGGAATCTGAGGAGGAGCAGCGCTGCATCATGCATCTCCTGATGGCCTGTGACCAGGGGTCCATGGAAGTCTGCGTGGCTGCAATCAGCGGCTGTTGGCACCGTCGCGGCGAAGGCCGCGGTGGCCTGGAAGAAGAGAGAAGTGCAACACGAGCACAGACTCCTTGCGCAGTGGCGTACGCGAGCCGCCGGCGCGGCACGCAACATCACCAGACCCTGCGCCAGAGCGCGTCACACGGACTCGACGCCCGCCTGGCGATCGAGCTGCAGAACTCGCTGCTCCACCCTCTTCCGCACGATCTCCAGGCGCTCCAACTGCACGCGCAGCGAGGTCTGCCGCGGCAGGTCCCCCGCCGCGTCGCCGCCGCCCGTGGAGCAGCAGCCAAGCCGCCTCGTGAGCAGAATGATCACCGCCAGCGACGCGAGCATGGCCACGGCTCCGCCGATCAGGACCACGCTGCGCACCAGGGGGGGGCCCCCCCAGGGCGACGTCTGCTCCTGCCTGCTGGCACCGGTGGTGCTCTCCCCGCCGCCGGAGCCGCCGGCGGAGTCGCTCGTGGCGGTGCCGGCGGGGGGCGTCGTCGCCGCCCCCCAGTTGTGCGGAGGCGTGGAGGTGGCCGTGGTCGAGACCGGCGGGGTTGTGGTCGGGGGCGTGGTCACGACGGCAGGTGTGGTCCCGACGTCCGACAGGGCGGCACGTGAGTGGTGGTGCGTGAGGAGTGCCGCCAGGGCGATCCCGCCAAGCGCGAGGAACGCCAGCATCAGGCAGAGACTTGGATGGCCTCCCAGCTTGGAGGCCCAACCGCCGCTGCTGCTGCTCGAGTTCTCCAGCTCCAAGCGCTTCTCCACTTTCGTGATGGCCTTGGTGAGGCTCTGGAAACTGTGATTGTGGCCTGCTTCTTCGGCCTGCTCCAAGAGCATACTGACACGGAAATTGAAGATCTCCCTGTCTAGCCTCTCGAAACCACCAGATGTGTTCACCCTGTCGCATATGAAGGCCTCGTCCATTTTGCTGCTGCACTTAGCATTCGTCGTATTCACATCCAGCACGTTCTGCAACCTCCTCCTGCCCGTGTCCGCATACCTCTGAGAGCACGCGGAACGCGTGGTGCAATCCTCCCGGAGCGCTGTCGCGATCTCATAGACGCACCAGAGGCGCTCGTACACCTCTGCCCGGGAGGTGTGTATCACTAGCATTCCTCGCTGCTCGCGCACGGACCTGATCACGTGGCCAAAAGGGTCCATGGCCAGCTGTTCTGCCACCGTCGGCCCAATGTCCCCCTCCTCGTCCCCGGCCTGGTAGTTGGAGAACAAGCAGAACCACACAGATGTGCTGGCTGTTAGGCCATTGCGGCGGCAGTGTGTGTTCAGGGCCTCGGCACACTCGGTGAGGTCCTCTGCCCAGTTGTGAGAGAGCATGAGCTGCGCCTCTATCGGGGCAGCCGCGTTCATGTTCAAAGCGACGCCGCGGCCAGTTCCGCGAGTCCACGGCTTCACGAAACGGTTGCAGGCTTCGTGCGCGCTGACGAATCCGCTTCGCCTCTTGAGGATCTGCCACATGTCGGTCGCCTGGCAGCACTGCACGAACTCGTTCCACTGCACCACCGTCATCGCCCACTTCTCAGGCGGCACATCGGAATTGGAGGCCGTGTGCTTCTCGGCCGGGAAGCAGTCCGGCGCGGACGGCAGCTCTGGCAGGGGGCACGCCTTCGACAGCGCGAAGGCCTGCTTCGCCCGCCTCGCGGGCCCCACCAGGAGCGTCGGCAGCCTCTCCAGCTCCATGGCCAGGTCGCGGGGCGGCGCTGGAAACGCCCTGGACCGAAACGGTTCCAGAGCCTCCTCAACTCCCAGACCTCTCCCAGGGCGCGATCTGACCAGAACTGCGAGGGACTCACAGGAGGCCCACAAAGGCGAAGACGAGGCAAGGGTAGCGGTATGGGTACCTTTTGCTCCTCTGACCCCCGCTTCCGCCTGGCACCCCTCCCGAGGCAGCCACGAGCGGCACATCCTCCAATGGAGGGCGGGTCGTTTTCAAAATGTGGCTCTCGCCTTAGCGCCGCGCACATTCGTTTAACACATTGCAAGAATTTCACGGATTGAAGGCGGGTTATTTTCAAAATGTGGCTCTCGCTTTAGCGCCGCACACATTCGTTATACACATGTTGCAAGAGTTTCACAGGTTGAGGGCGGGTCGTTTTCAAAATGTGGCTCTCGCCTTAGCACCGCGCACATTCGTTTTAAACATTTGCGAGAGTTTCACCAATTGAGGGCGGTTCCTTTTCAAAATGTGCCTCTCGCCTTAGCGCCGCGTGCATTCGTCCTAAAACAATTGCAAGGGTTTCACGGATTGGGGCCGGGTCATAACCAAAATGTGGCTCTCGCCTTAGCGCCGCGCACATTCGTTTTTAAACTTTGCAGGAGTTTCACGGACTCCCATGATCAACGTACCAGCAATTTCGTTTTGGCAAGATTCAGGATTATGCGGGTGCATAAGCTATGTTGGTTCGAAGTGCTGAAATCCCAGCAATGGCGCTCTGGAACGATTCCGGATCGTCATGACGCAGCAGTCATGGTGATACGTGGCGTCGAAATTCCGAGAACAATGTTTTGGCATGCTTCAAGATCTTCAAACGGTTGTCTTCCAACGAGGCAATTCCCTCAATGGAAATGAACCGTCGTAGGGGCCTGTGAAGAGGGAGCTTGGAGGGAGGGTTAACTCCAACGTCGCTGATGACTCTTGGGTTTACACTGGTCCTCTTCCTCCTCCTCCTCCTCATTCTCCCCCTCCTCCTCCCTCTCCTACCTATGGCAATGGTGGTTGAAAATCGGCCCATCATGGCAGGCCTGAGCTGGATCGGGCTGCGAAATCGGATCGGACCAGAACCGGATCGGATCGCCAGCGCATCGTTCCGAATCGGATCGAAGTCGGATCGCCGCGCCTGGCTCCTGGCAAGTGCCCGTGAATCGAACCGAGTCGGATCGACTCGGAATCGCGGCCCCAGCCGGCGAAGCGAATCGCATGGAATAGAAGGCGACTCTGTCTGGGCTTCTGGTGTCGGTATCGGGCCCTCGGGGCCGCTCCACGAGCGGGGGAGATGTGCCTTGCTATGTCATGTCACACCCTGATCTGATCTGCCATGCTATACCATGGTGTGCACTGTTACTTGATGATGCGTCGTGCCATGCTATGCTTGCCATGCTACCCTGTGCAATGGCATGTCGTGTCAGGTTGTGACGCACTATGCTGTACGATGCAATGTTGTCTTAGGCCATACCATGCTAAGTATATGCCTAGCATTGATATATCATTGCATTGGATCGCAAGTGTGTGCGATCAGCACGAACACCACTGGTTGGGGTCGGGCAATGTCCATAGTTCCCAGTGCTCTTCGTTGAAGCAGAGACGGCAAACTACCCACATCCAGTTGTGTCACGAACCAGGCCGTCCCCGCTGTACATGGCCACTAGAACCATCGCGCGCGCTTCGCGCAAGCTCAAGGTCTAGCTCTCTCAGGTGCCAGGGCATAGAGCTGAAACGGCGAAATGTGACGATACAAATGAATGCCAGAGTGTGTGGAATTATGTTCGCAGGGTGGAAACATTTTGGCACAAACGTTGAATCGGAGGAGGAGCGTGGGGAAAGGTGATAATGATAATAATAACAAAAGGCAGCAGGAAGAATATCGAGGACGCCTCCTGCGAGTCGCCGCCGTCACCAGCCTTTCAGATGAGCCTGCATGGGCCGCCTTGGGCGTAAACTGGGAAAGCGGCACTGCTGAAATCCCCCGAAGACCTACAGAATACCCACATGTCTTACCTGTAAGGGGCCTCCTGGGAGCTCTCTTAAACCGCTCTTGGAACGTCTTGGGGGCCTCTGGGGCGTCTCGAAGCCTCCTTTGGCCGACTGTTGGTCCACACGGGCGGTGCTCTGGGGCCGTGGTTACTGTACGACGACCTGGGACCGCCCTGGGGGCGACCTTGGGGCACGCAGCCTTGGCACCCAGCCCCCCGGGCTCCCCGCTCGACGTCCGGTTCTCGGCCCAGGAGCCATGGGGGTCCCGCTCCCCCGCTGTGTGCGCATTCGAGAACCTTGTTACGACGCCTGCGGTCAGAGACTGTTGCGCAACGTGTCGCGGCGGCGGTCCTGGCGACACGCTATGCCTTGCAAGCAGATCCGCCACCGTGCCCTTCGGCATGGAGTGGGCGTGCCCTCAGGTCCTATCCCTCATCCTCTAAGCCTCAGTCCTCACTTCCGGGGAGTCTCTTAGGGGCCCGGGCCCTAGACTCTCAAATCTACCGGGGTCCCCGCGTCGCTTCGGGGATCTGGCGCATCTTGTCGCGTGACTTTTTCTGGCTCAAGAGGACCCCAAGACGGGCCGAAAGAGCCTCAAGAGGTCCTCAAGACAGCCCAGGAGGGCCCCGAGACGCCCAGCAATCGCACCAGGACGCCCAAGATGGCTCCACGACGGCGCAAGAAGCCTCCACGAGGCTTCCCAAGAGGGCCCCAAGAGGCAAACAACATTGATTTTCCTTAGGGTTCTAACAATTTGTTGCGTTCTCGCCATTCTGGCTTCCCGGCGCTCCAAGACGGCCCCAGCCAAGGGCCGCCCAAGGATGGCCCCAAGACTGCCCAAGAGACCTCCAGCAGGGCCCCCAAACGGCCCAAGAAGGCCTCAAGAGGGCCCCGGAGGCCTCCAAGACGGCCCAAGAGGTCACCGAGGCGGCTCCCAGAGAGGGCCCGGGCGGGGGACCCGGACAGACAGTTCGAGCCCTCGGCCCCAAGGAGCCCCCAGGAGGCCCCACAAGGCCCACGAGAGGCCCCCGAGAGGCCCCCGAGAGGCCCCCAGGAGGCCCTCGAGAGGCCCTCGGGAGGCCCCGAGGAGGCCTCCAGGAGGTCCCCGAGGGGCCCCCGAGAGGCTTCAGCGCTGCTCCCCAGGGGCTCCCAAGAGTGCTCCCAAGAGCCCTCTGGAAGCACCCGTGAGGACTCCGACACACAGCCCGCTCACGGTGCCTCCTCCTCCTCCTCCTCCTCCTCCTCGTCCTCGTCCTCGTCCTCGTCCTCGTCGTCGTCGTCGTCGTCCTCCTCCTCCTCCTCCTCCTCCTCTTCCTCCTCCTCTTCCTTCTCCTGTGTGGGCTCCGTGCGTCCCCGCGGGGCCCGAAGCCGGGAAAGGCCCGGGGCGTTGACGCCTGGGGACTGGAGGTGGTCAGCGTGTCGCGCCGAATCTTGGCGGGCCAGGATCGGCATCCGCCTCCTCCACCCTTCTTCTTCTCCCCCCACTCCTCCGTCTCCTCCGTCTCCTCCTCCTCCTCCTCCTCCTCCTCCTCCTCCTCCTCCACCGCCTCCTACACCCCCCGCTCGTTTTCACCTTCGTCGTCTTCAGGGTCGGCGGCACCGGCCGTAAGGCCTTCGCAGTCTTGGTGGGCCAGGATCGGCGGCGCGACACGCTAGCCAAAAGTTCCGACCATACAACATATGTGCCAGCAAAGGAATCCGCCACCATGCCGTGGGCACTGAAGGGAGGGCCACCAGGTCCCTGGGAGTACTCAGTGGTGACTCGTCCACGCGCGTGTTCAGGGCCCCAAACTCACAGATTACCTGGGCGCTCCCGCACGCTCCACTTGCGTCAGCCATCTTTTTCTGGGAGCGCGTAGACACGATTTCTCTTCCTCCCTTCCCCTCCTCCTGCGCCCACGGGCAGTGTACCGTAGCCATTTCGTGTTTTAGGGCGTGTGCGAAGCTCAAAGTAGCCTCCTCCTCCTCCTCATCCTCCTTATCCTCGTCCCCCTCCTCCTCCTCCTCCTCCTCCTCCTCCTCGTCCTTGTCCTTAGCTCTGTTTGCCGATGCGCCGTGCAAGCGCCAGGCACGCCAGACCACGCCGTAGATGGCCCTCGAGGCCTCCAGCAGGTCCCCCACGAGGGCCTCCCGAGCCTCCCAAACAGTTTCCAGGAGGCCGCCGAGAGGCCCCCTGTAGCTTAGTGGGCCCTGGAAACGACGAGGCTGTTTTTTTACCGGTTCCGTTTTGCCGTTTTTCTTGCCGGTTCCGACGCCGTTTTTTTACCGATTCCGTCGCCGTTCTTTTACGGGTTCCCGCTCTGGTGGAGCCGTTTTTGTTGCCGTTTCCGGTCGCCGTTTTTTACCGTTTCCATTTTCAAAGGACACTTTTTCGGAAACGGTGAAAAAACGGCCCTGCCGTTTCCGGGGCCCACTAAGCCCTGGAGGCCCCCGAGGCCCTTCAAGGGCTCTCAAGAGGCCCCGACAGGAGTCCAAGAGGTCTCTGGTCAGCAACCCAGGCAAGGTGGCGGGATGGGCCGCGAAGGCCACTAGACCAACAACTCTGTGGAGTGCGTGCGTGTGTTTTGTGTGTTTGGAGGGCGCTCAAGTGCAACTTGCACTGTGGGAGATACCTGCACCAAATGGCCTTACATTTGGCACGCCCGAATTGGGCACTGAGAGATGGACCCGATGTCGAACAGCAAACTCTTGTCTAAAACCGAAAGCGGCCGCTGTTGGGCGGGCGACTGTGTCTCAACGGACCACATCCGCGACGCCACCGACCGCGAATCCTACTCGCAACGCGTGGAAACCTCTGCCAGTCTTCGTCCCATTATTTCTATACCCATCTCGACCGTGCCAAGACATGGGTCCAGAGAGAAGGCCTCAACAAACCAAACATATTCGGCCAAACCCGCACACATCGAGCAGGAGCCGACCGTCTCGGCATGCCTATAGGCCAACCAAAAGAGGTATTCTCATAACCCAAAACATGTCCCAACTGCATAAG